AAATGGACTTTTTTTTTTTCTCATGTAGGCTTGGATTCCTTTGGGGTGCTAGAACTGTGGAACAGAGGGAGTCATCTGTCCCGGAGGAGATCCGAATGACTTGCCAACAGTTTGTTAATTACCACAGAGACGTGTGTGTGAGAAGCATTGTCCAGGATAGAAGGTGGAGTTGTTCATCAGTGTCAAAAGTGATTTAAATTATTCTAATATTCTGGATATCAATTCGGAAATAAATATTTACAAATCAACAGTTTGTAAATATGGATGGGTACGTACTCTGCATCTGTAAATACCCTTCTTTTTACTAGGAGTATACACAAGACACACGGGTTCCAAACACCACTAAGCAGACAATTGATTGATCTGCAAATATTTATTTCTGAATTTATATTCTTGATATTAACTCTTGGTGTTTAGATATTTTTTTAATTTATGTTATCAAACCATAACGTTATCATGAAGAGATTCTAGCATGTAGTTTTAAATATAGAAATCAAAAGCAGTGTAAACATCTTGAACTAGGAAGTTTAAGCTGATGCTGTTACGAGTACTCCTCGTACTATGGCCAATTACTTAATGACCATTCAAAGTTATGACCTACCTGGAAAAGGGGAATTATGTCCCCGTTAGGATGGTTACCCCCCAACACACACACTCATGTAATCACACTTTGGGCATTTGGTAACACAGCAGCATTTACAAGAGTTTGCAGCATCCCACAGTCATGTAACTTGTGTTTTACAAAGTTTTTGTCAAAAACCGGAAGTTACTTATGGGTTTCAGCAAAACAATGGGTTTGCTTAATACTGCCACATGTCTTTTACGGCCAGCAAATTTGTTTAACAACTGCCACAAAAAAGATAAAATTGGGCAGTCATATGACCAACCCGATTTATGATCATAATAGGCAGGCTCCACTACAGTCATACGTGGAGGACTACCTGCAATGAACAAAAGCAGCCACAGAAGAAGATATTATTATCTGACTTCTTTCATGAAGTGCTCTGTGAAGCCAAGAAAGTTAAGCCTAACTTGTCAATGAGGTGCTTTGCAGTTTTTAGTGATATTTTGAGAAATTTGGTGGCATTCTTAATCTTAGAATCTTCCCTATCTGGTTTTCAGCTGCTGTTTCAACATATTCACATTCTATGTCTCAAATTTAGGATTGCGTATATCCCCAGACTTTCATTTTTGGATATAAAATTCTGTGGAAGTAGCAAATAAACAATTCTTACATATTTGTTCTGCCTTTTACAACTATTTTTAAATTTCTTTATATTTTTTTGAAGAGCCAACGTTAAAAAAAGAAAAAGGGATCAATATTGTTTTTTTAATCACTATCACTGTTTGATCTACATATATTGCAATAAGTGATGTAACCCCTCCTTGTTCTCCTTTTCATCTATATTTCTCTCTTTTCTTCTCAGATGAATGCCTGGCATTAGAACGCTAATGTTTGTTGTTGACCCAGCACTGATTTTGTTATAGGTTCCCATGTTGCGTTAATTAAAATTAACATAAGATGATTAATTAAAAGGCTTTCTTACATAGTCTGTAGGCTGGATTGGCTTAACTTTAGATGATGGAATAGTTGCTTTCTGTATGGTAACATTTAATTAGACAAAAAACCCTGAAGTTCTAGAAAACCCCTTGGAGGAGGGCTTCATGCATTTTTCTTCTATTGACTGAAACGTTGAAGTACCACATCCATTTCAAGGCCTGTTGTGACCATTCCAAGGGCTTCCTGACATTAAGTATGTATGTGGATGCCCAGATGACACTTCTATTGGAAGGAAGAATGTTTTTATACTTGAAAAATAGTTCTACAATTATATGGCAAGATAGCTTGGCTATCACTGTTGGGCGCTTAGTTGAGGCAGGCAGGTCATAGAAAGACTTTCCATAAGGCATGCATTACTTTCATTGTTGACCTCAATCCTTATCCCAGTCATGTATAGTAGAGCATAATGCTGCCTGAGATACTGAGCATTGGCCTAGAGGTGGTTGCACCAGGTTGCATGCGGTTTTCAGCTATGAATGGAGAAAAAAACACTTCCTGGAGTCTGAAATGAATCTGAACCAATTATGTTGTTTCTCAAGATCTTTGTGCATTAGCAATAGCAATAGTACTTAGACTTGTATATCTCTTCACAGTGCTTTACAGCCCTCTCTGAGCAGTCTACAGAATCAGCATATTTTCCCCAACAATCTGGGTCCTCATTTTACCAAACTCAGAAGATAGAAGGCCGAGTCAACCTTGAGCCGATCAAGATCGAACTCCAGGCTGTGGGCAGAGTTAGTCTGCAATACTGCATTCTAACCACTGTGACACCAGGGCTCTTCTTTAGTTAGCTTAATAAGCATTTTAGGACCAAGAGACCCAAATTTAACCTACAAGAGTGGACAAGCTGATTTAATTCTCCCTGAATTTCTTCCTTTTTAGATTGCAAATGGAAGGCTATGAATGTTTTCTCCATAAAAGAAATACCTTGAGCTTATAAAACCAAAAAAAATTAATCAAATGCCGTACTAAACAGCATTTACTAAAGCTCTATGTACTTCAGAAATGATTCAGCCGACAACTGCTCTGAAGAAGTGTGATGAGATAAAAAAAAGAAGCAGCTGCTTTAATGAGTAGCAGTTGTATTTTTTTTCCCAATTTCTATAGAAACCTGGAAAAAAAATATATAAAGGCTCCTGAGCTCTCACTCCTTCCCAGAACATATTTTCAAAATAATTTTTGAAGCATGTACAGCCATTGAATAGAGTATTTAAGCCTTCCACATGCTAGATTAGGACTTTTCCTTCTGAAATAGAATTTGATATGGTTATCATCTAAAATGTTATCATTAATTCTTCTACTACTGTACAGGTAGTCGTTGATTTATGACCACAATTGAGAACAGAATTTCCATTGTTAAGCAAAGCAATTGTTAAGTGAGTCATGGTTGTTAAGTGAATCATTGTAGTTAAGTAAAATCACATCGTCATTAAGTAACTCCAGCTTCCCCTGTTGAAATTGCTGGGAAAGTCGCAAATGGCGATCATGTGACCCCAGGAGACTGCAACCATTGTAAATACAGTCCAAGCATCTGAATTTTGATCACATGACACGGGATGCTCTGATGGTTGTCAATGCAAGGACCGGTTGTATGTCCCTTATTGCCACTGTTAACTTCAAGGAGTCGCTAAACAAATGTTTGTTAAGTCAAGGACTACCTGTATATAATTCCAATGGTAATTTCTGTGACTAAAGATTAATTTCAGATTCTAAGATTATAGATAGCAAACTAATAATAATTTTACACTAACCTTATAAGATGTTCTGCATATCCTAGCTTTCATTAGATGGTTGCATGCATTTTGGCTGATTAAAAAGGCGATTGAGACCTGCCAAAAAGGAAAACATCTTTTAATATATACTTGGCTATTAGTCCTTCTTTTAACAACCTTCTAACTATAATGCTGTCTTTCCTTGTTTTCCCTTGTCTTCATCCAACAAGCAGTGGTGATACGAGATTTACAGAACATGTGGGTGAATCCTTCCTTTGACATACAGGTGTGGCACAAAGACTGTGACTGGAGTCTTCTTCGGCTGTGATCTGGTGAACTGGCTTTTGGAAGTTGGCCTTGCCTTGGACCGCGGGGACGCTGTAGTCTATGGAGAGAGGCTGGTGAAAGGCAACATCATCCAACATATTACCAATGACTTTGAATTTCGGGATGAGCGACTGTATTACCATTTTACAGCTACGACAACTGCAATAAGGGACAGCCGAGGGAATGAAGACGCCCGTGGAAGTTAGCCAAGCCCAAGCCCTCCTACTCGCATGTAATGCACACAGTTTGAGATCCTTTTGCTTATAACGTGGCCGTGTTGATCTCTAACCCAAAGAGAATTAGGTCTTGCATTCTGAATGTTGACTAAGATGAGTTGCTTCAGGGAATTACTTCAAATTGTGAAAGACGTGTAACAGGCTTTGTGCTCAGTTTTTTTTTTTTAAAAAAAGAACCCATAGTTTTTTTAAAAAATAATTTTCTTTCCTTGTCAGTACAGACAATACTGTGGACAAAGCAACTCATTGTTATCATGTGATGTGTTATTATTTTTTTTTAAAAAGGGAACAGTAGATCATTTTGGTGTATGCAGTTCTTACTCTTGTTTTAACTGGGAAATTCTCTTATTTGTACTGGCAAAATAACTGTGTTAAAGGATAGAAATAAGAAATCAGCAAATGAATTTTGCTGTTTATCCTGATTCTTATATGAGTAAGCCAATTTTAACCTTTAAAGCAGTGGTTTTCAACCTATGGGTCGCGACCCCATTTGGGGTCAATCGACCATTTCACGGGGGTCGCCAAGCAAGGCTGTCCGCCATTTTTTTTCCCTTTTCCGGCGGGTGCCTTACCTCCCTTGAGCTGGGCCAGCTGGTGGTCGGCCTGCTCCGTCTCTGCCGCTTGCCAGCTACCCCTCAGCCGGCGCAGGGGGCAGAACCACGCATGCGCGGCGCTCCCGGGCAGGGAAAGTCCTCGACATACGGCCGGTTGGGTAGTCCTCGACTTACGACCGGTTTAGTCCTCGACTTACGACCGGTTGGGGGTCGCATTAAAAAGGTTGAGAACCACTGCTTTAAAGCATACAGGTCTCTGTTTATCCGTCTGTTTGAATCTGAACGAGATTTAAAGCACCATAATTGCGAGCTGGATTTCTTCTTCAAATATAATTTGTTTCATAATTTTTCCCCTTGGTTCATTGATAATAGGCACATGACTACCAAAAATGGACCAATTTATTTCACAGACTGCAATCAGTTGGAGTCTGTAGATGCCATACTTATTTTGTACTTAATAATACCAAATTAATATTTTTTAAATTGTTAAATTGTACTTGAGTACTACTCTTGATATGCAAATTAAAGAACTTGAATTGACTTCTTAAATTTTAATTTTGCAATGCAAATTTTTAAGTATTCGTAGAAATATGTGTGTGTGTGTTTTCACCATAAAAGTAATGTATTTTTAAATGCATATGTTTATCAGAAACTCTGGTAATTTTTTAATTCTTAAGCAGCATTATAGAATAATAAGAACACATGAACATGTTATTGGCCTTTTTAAAGTGAAGAAGAATCCTTAAATATTTTTTCTGAAAAGTGGTTCATCAACAATATTGTTAGAAGAAGCAATTTGTCATGTTTCTTCAACTATTAAGAAGATCTGTTGGTTATCTTTATCTAACCACTATTTTTTTTTACCAGATGCATGGCACATTTATGTATGGGTATGTTTTATATTTATACAAATATAGATTATATTTGGAAGCTGGGCTTATTAAAATTATGGCTATTAACTTATAAAGAGTTAACTCTGTAACACCCTAGAAATAATGAACCTTTCACAATCTTATGTATTCAGACATAAAGAAGTGTGGGGGAATTAGTTTTATTTTTTTACTATCAATACAGGTGAATTGAAATACTGCCAATATTTCTTCTGCATTGCATAAAAAAGGCTACCTTCCAAAATGGGGAAAAAAAGGTTTATATAAAGTCTAATTTGTAAGTTGATCTACAGCTCAAATAAAAAGCGTGCTGTATTACAAAACCCAATTATTTTTTTTTAAATTGGGGAGAGTTATGGTGAAGCATGTTCCTGAAAGTAGTAGACTGATTTTCTTGCTGTTCCAGTTACTCAATAAATACAGCTATACTGACTTGTATAATATTCCTTGTTAAGAGTTGAAGCAAAAAGTTGCACTATATACTTTTCACTGCTTGTGGTTCAATTCTTAAAGTATCCTTAAATTTAGGCTAGATAGACTGTGTTCAAAGATCAATCTATACACTGGGATTATTTAAACATCATTTATTAAATAAATCAGTTGGTTCATACAAATATTAAGCTCCAAATTAACCATAGTTTAAACTATGGCTTAATATAATAGGTGGATTCAAGCTTAAAATCCAAAGTGCCATGGTAGAGTATTCAATTTTAAGTTCGTGACATTCAGTTCTAGGTAAATTATATCTCCCAACATGGGAAGAATGGCATTTCTTTCTTGATATTTTTGCTATTGTGATAGCAATTATTTTATTTTTCATAATATCTGATACTACATAAGAATTTTTTTTTTGCTACGGATGTAATTTCTTGTTAATTCCTTTGTTCTTGAATTCATCATATTTTTATATATACCAAATTGAGACATACAGCTAATTATTAATTGTGCAATTTTATTTACACATTAAAACTTCTACAGTACCTAACTACCATAGGCATAAGATTGCCACCCGAATGAGTTTCTGCCCAAATTTAGGCTTTCAACTCAGGAAATAGCCCCTTTTTAAAATTAAAAGTTATATTTAATTCATTAGACGAATCAGGACTTAAATGTTCCTATGACTTGACTGCATCCTACTTCATACCTTTCTATACCTGGCTCTCAACAGTCCTCCTTTATTACCTGAAAAACATTAATTTTGATTGTTTTTTTAAAACCAATGTTAGCATTCGGCAGCAAAATGTCCTACTTACAAACACTGGGTTTAATTGCTTGAGCTTTTCTTTTCTTCCACTTACTGATGAGAAACCAAAGGAATGAAACCCAACAAGGTCCTATTACCAATGAAGCTTCTCACAAACATTCACTATCACAGTGCTTATATGGTAATCTTTCCCATTAACTACGAATTTTTGTTTTCTGCTGATTATTAGCAATTTTTGCAGAAGTGCGTTGAATTATATTTGACTATCACCAACTTTAGATGATTCTCCAATAAAAATAATGTATAGAAGCAGTGAAATGATGCTATTCAGTGAAGCCTATTCTTCTAATAGGGGCCAAATGCATCTAAATTTCTATTGGATTGTAAAATCCAGTGCATAATGATATTGGAAATAACTTTAACATCCTATTCAAACTATCCTGATGTATCAAGTTTTTAATACAAGCTTTTCAGGACAGAATTTTTATTCTTTTAATCCTTTGTCAAAGACTAAGTCTGTATACCAATTCAAATTATATACAAACATCACTGTATATCTATTGTTATTTTTAGATTAAAGGCACTATCCACGTTTTCATACTTCAGCAACAGAACTGTATAGAACTTTCTTGAATTCTTAAAAGTTGTTTTCTTAAATAATTAAATTTGCATCTGAGAAGCCATTTACAAGAAAATGGAAAATGTGCTGTAGTTTACAATCCTTTGTTTTCTCAACATTCACTTGAGTCTTTACAATATTTTGGGGTTAATTTGGTTAATACATATTAATTCCAGAATTAGCTATTTCACTTATTTGTTTTATTTATTTTGCTTCTTGTCCAATTAGATTTTTAAATGTTGAAGTTGCTGGGAGTTGAGCAACATATAAATTATTGTTATTAACTCTGCTTATTAAATGTGTATGACACTTGGCCATTAAGTGTATGCAATACCAACCAAATACAGGCTGAAAATATATGCAAAGTAAACAAAAAAACTAGTAATTTTGTAGATGTTTTAAACTTTGGATGGCTGCATGTCACATTTTAAATTAGCAATTATGTTCTATTAAGGCTAATGCCAATATTTTATCTTCCAGCTAGCTTACACATAATAAATGCTATTTGGCCAGAAGTAGCATTGTACAAGGAATAAAGCAGTTTTGGAAAATAGCACTTGGATTAATAAAAGGAAACATCTGCAGATATTTTGTCAGGCATATATACGTATTTCTTCTTCAACACAATCTGAAAAAAGATTAACTGCTTGATCAACATTCAGGAATCCATTCTGGAGAATATGCTCCATCTCATCAATCTTTGTTTTCTCCAATTTGTGGATCTGTTCCATGATCAGTTCGGCCTTTTCCTATAAAACATATTTGAAAATAGAACCAAATATAAATCTTCTGCATAGCAAATGCTTGCTACAATTAATCTTACATGAGAGTTGGTGTGATCTAGTGATTATAATGTTAGACTATATAGAAACCCAAATTATAGTTCATCTTCAGCCATAGAAAGTCACATGCTGACTTTTGTCCAGTCACTTGCACCCAGAAAAATTTCACTGAATTGTTTACTTTATTGATGTATTCACCACATTTCCACATCACCCATCTCATTTAAGTGATTCTGAGCAGTTAACAATAGAAAATTGCTGTGAGGAATAAAGCAGCACCATGTACATTGTTGTGAGCTGAATAAAAAGTGAGATATAAATTAAATATGTTTTAAACAAGTAACATAATGGGGAAAAAAGAGGGAAAGGTTTGCAACAAATGTTGAGTCTTCAAATAAATTATGAATCCCTTAACAAGCTCTTGCTTAAGACTCCAATCAATCTGAGAAGCAGCCTCTTGCTTAACGCTTTTTAAAATTCTGCATTTTTAGAAGGTGTTAAATGGTCAGATGTAAGGCTAGTGGCTTTGCACTTAAAGCAGATAGTCCTCGACTTACAGCCATAATTGGGACCAAAATTCCATTGTTAAGCAAGGCTGTATGTTAAGCAAGGCTGTATGTTAGGCTGCAGAATGGGACAACTGGCAGCCCCAAAGGATCTCACCCGATGAGACTTTCCCGGATCTCTCTCTTTTTTTTTTTAGCTTACAATCCTTCATATTCAAAGCTACACAGTTGCTCTGGGGTACATGGAGGTGTATACCTAGCATCTATCCACAGGTAGATAATAGATGATGACATAATAAAAAATGTCATGAATCATTTCCTGTGCTGTCATTTGACTGAGCTATATAGTCTCAGTCAACGGGCTACCTCTGAGTGTAGGCCCAGCTTTTCAAGTGAAGGCATCACATTGGGAGCTTCGTCCTTGTTGAAAGTGCTGATGATCCCGGTAAGGAAACAGTTTGGAAAGGATGACCCAATGGGTCACAGGCCTCCTAGATATTTAAAAGTTTAACAACAGCAGAGATCCCAAAGGTACTTTTTTCAAAAGGCAACTGGACTTCATTTTTCCTTTAAAGATATTTCGCTTCTCATCCAAGAAGCTTTTTCAGTTCTTAGACAACAGCAGAGTTCCAATTGTGATGCGATGCTCAGAATGTCTTCTCCTACACCAGGGGTAGGCAACCTTGGCTTTGCTATGCTATGCTGACTCAGGAATTCTGGGAGTTGAAGTCCATGAGTCATAAAAGAGCCAAGGTTGCCTACCCCTGCTCTAGGGCATAGAAGCATTCATGGAAATAAAGGTGGCAGAGACTGGCATTCTGCTTTGCAGCTCACCAGGTTTTTATTGCATTTTTTGCTTTCAGTATTGATTGTTGGCATCCCAATTGGGTGGCAGACACTTTGGTGGATGTCTGTAAAACTCTGGTTGTCCTTATCTTAAAGGCAAAACTTTGGAGAGAAAAGCTGGGAATATCAATAGTTAAATTTCTTTTTCATACAAAGCTTCTCATTATGTTTGCAAATTTTATTAATACAGTTGTGATGTCATGCGACCTCACAAGCAAGGTACTGCCTAAACTGTGAGAAAGCAACTTGGACTCTCTTTACAGTTTGGCATTTGGGAACAAAGTGAGAACATTTCTGACACACTGCATCCAAAACTTTACCTCTAGAAATTGTTTTGAATTCTTTGTTGTCTGTTGTGGTATGAAAGAGAAAAAAGTTTTATGGACTTACGAAGAAAGACTCTTCACAGGGAACATTTATGGCCAAATATATAGATTATTATAGATAGTTCAAGAGATCCATTGCTGTATCCTCTACTTAATAGGATTTAAACAATTTCAGGATTAATATTGTTTTAATATGTTAATGTTTTATTTTGTTTGTATTGATTGTAAGCCTCCTACAGTTGCTTCTAGGTATGATGGGTCACATATAAGTTAAACAAATAGAATAACAGAATAGGAAGAGACCTTGGGGGTCTTTTAGTCTAACCCCCTGCTCAGGCAGAAAACTCTATGCCATTTCAGATAAATGGTTGTCCAATCTTTACTTAAAAGCCTCCGGTGTTGGAGCACCCACAACTTCTGAAGGCAAGCCATTCCACTGATTGTTCTTAACTGTCAGGAAATTTCTTCTTAGTTCTAGGTTGGTTCTCTCTTTGATTAGTTTGCATCCATTGCTTCTTGTCCTGCCTCCAGGCGCTTTGGAGAATAGCTTGACTCCCTCTTCTTTGTGGCAGCCCTTGAGATATTGGAACACTGCTATCATGTCATCCCTAGTCCTTCTTTTCATTAAATTAGACATACCCAATTCCTGCAACCGTTCTTTGTATGTTTTAATCTCCTAAATCAACTTTACTGCTCTTCTCTGCACTCTTTCTAGAGTCTCAACTTCTTTTTTTATATCATGGTGGCCAAAACTAGATAGAATATTTTAAGTGTGGGCTTCGATGTAAATAATATTGAAAAGAAAGAGCACAGTGGCTCATGTGGTTAGGATGCTAAGATGACAATTGGCAGGCTCACGTTCAAGATCCGGTTGTTGCTGCTGCGGGACTGAGTGAGCTCCTGTCACTCGCTACAGCTCCTGCCGACCCATCAGTTCGAAAGCGGGCAACCAGATGGGTATCACTTTGGTAGGCAACTTAATGAGGATATGAAAGGAGTCACCAACTGGGCATCCTCTGGGCAGCGGTGATGTCACTGGCTAATGCTTTCAACCTGGAAGCACCTTGGTGCTCCCTAAATGACTGTAGTAATACCCTGAAGAGGAAGGATCTGAAGTACCCCATCTAGGTACTTAGAAATGGCTTGAAACATCTATTAAGGGCATCCAGGATTTCAAAGGACAATATTCTAAAGCAGGGGTAGTCAACCTTGGCTCTTTTATGACTCGTGGACTTCAACTCCCAGAATTCCTGAGCCACCATGGCTCAGCTTGGAAACCTCTCCCTTTCCCCTCAGCATGGCTGGCTCAGGAATTCTGGGAGTTGAAGTCCACGAATCATAAAAGAACCAAGGTTGACTACCCCTGTTCTAAAGCATCAAAACAAGCATGATAAAACAGTTGGGAGGGAAGGATTTGGGTAGAACCTGGTGGCTTTGAAAGAAGCTTAAGGATAGATTACTTTAAGCATCTTTAGCAAGTTTCAGAGAGCATGGTTCTACTGCATCCAGAATAGGGGTGCAAGCATGGCTACAAAGATCTCTGAAAAGTCTCAGACATGAATCCTTGAACGAAGCCAGAAACAATCTGGGAGAATGACTCCAGGAATCCATACAAAGTGTTCAGAACGGATGTCCTGAAGAATCCAGGCAATATGTGAATAAGTGGCTTGATATAGCCTTCAATCACCTCCAAAAGGAAAAGCCTGAAACATCCCATCTATGTTTGGAGGAGTGGCTGGAAGCATCTAGACAAGGTCTGCAGGGGGAAATATTTAAAGAGATGACAGGCAAGAAAGATTCTGAAATATGGAGGACAAAAGCACGTTTACAAAGGAATTCCTTCTCACAGAAAACAGGTATGTAAAGAGCCAACATATATTAAAGATGGACCAATTCCTGTTTTTTCCCCTCTCTATTCCTTATATATTGAGCCAAAAGGGAAACTGTTTCATTTCTAGTTCTGTCTAGCAAGATTTCTTCAAAGGGGAATTAAAAAGGAAGAGGACATAACAACTATTTGTTTGAAATGAGTTTCAGGGAACAAAAATCTATTTAATCCAGAACCAGAATTTAAGTATGTTAAGCTAAAAAATGAAAAACATAGGCCAGAGGAAATAGTTAAAGCCACAACCCAGAAGTTACAAAAGGAAGAAGGAGAGCTTGAATGCGAAAGGAAGAAGACTGTGAGGACAAAAGGCACATGAAGGAAGTGAACTGCAGCTAATGAAAGCTTATATAATGAATTTCATTTGAATGTAGAGACTCAAGAATACAAAAGCTGTGTCTGAGGAATTAAGAAGTAAAAATGATCTGAAGATTGTCACAGGATCTCTTGCAAATAGGTGAAATCTAAGATTTGGGGTTTTTTTAAGACTTGTATATAGTGGTTTGTGATATAATCTGGATATTACTTTTATTTGGTAAGATTCACGAGAGTTGCAAAAAAGTACTGAACTTTCTAGAAGGAGAGCCGTGTTAGGAGTCTGGAAACAGCTTTTCCGACTAACAAATTTAATAAAATTAGCCTTTTAATAAGATTTGCTAGTTGGAAAAGGTGGTACCAGATTGCTTTCAAAAAAGAAATGAAATTTATCTGAGAACTGAAATAAATTAATTTAATAATGATATGAAAACCACTAAGAAATAGGTTCTACTGTTCTATCAAATTATATTTAATGTGTGGCTGTTAAAAGTATAGTTATGAAGAGTTTTTTGGGAGTTTACTGAGAATGTATAAAACCTGCTCTGACTTTCATAAATTCATGTTAACCCTATGACTGAAAATTGATCTGCCAGAACAATTTTTCAATGTCTATCAGCTCATACCAACACAAAGTTCTTACTTTGAATTTCAAAATTAAATCACAATTCCAAGAACAACCCACCTTTGAGGACTCCATCATGGCAACTGCCTGTTCATGTTTTTGATAGAGCTCATGTCTCCTATCTGGCTTTGTATGAAATCGTGGCTTCTTTTTAACTGGATCCTCAGGGCCAAATACTGGAGAGCTGGTTTTTAGAAGCTGGGTAATATTTTCCACAAAAATGAAAGGTTTAAAAACAGACCTGCAAAATAAAATGAAAATAAGCAAATATGCAAATTAGTTGCTACTTTCACATTCCAGGGTTATATTTCATTCAGCATAAGTTCCAGGAGAACCTAAATTTTCATATCAATTCTCTCAATCACAGTCTAGTTGATTGGGTCGAAAAGTTTCTGGAATCAAGAAGATGGCTTCTCAGCAGATAAAGAGTCCTAGTGTACTTTAAAAAAAAGAAGGCTTCCAGCCCAAAACTACTGAAGCATTAAATGCCTTTCCTGTTGCAGAATTGGCTTAAGATGAATCAGAAATTTTATCAGATTCTTTAATCCTGTACTTTTCTAAAGCTTCTACTGATCTTTACTTACCCTGGGTCATATTTAGTACTTCTGGAAAGGTTTCAAGCCTTTTGTTTACAGATTATGCGTCTATAGATTATGTTGATTGATTACGCAGCTGTAGATTATGCAAAAGAGACAATCAACCAGCCCCAAAGAGAAAAAGATTCCAGCACCTCCCCACCAATAATCAGCACTCAGATCAGCATAGATTAACTCCAAGGTCACCTTCAGACCAACAATCAAGTAAGCAATACCCCAATCAAGAAACTGCCAAAAAGCCATTACTAAACAGCCCAACCAAAGAATCCCTAAGACCACCCCCACCCACACAGAACATCAGCATATAAACTGACAGCAAACAGCACTTTTTACTACCACTAATGATGATACTTATCATAATTAGGGTGATGAAAGGTATGTAAGAAAACAAGCAAGCTCAGAGAGCATCAAGGACCCCCTCATTTCAAGCCTTTTATTTAAAATGGCAAAAAAATAAGGAAATGGTTAAGATTTTGTTCTTAGGACACATTTTATCTGCATTACCTATCAGGATCTGGAGTTCCAGTGAAGAAATGAATACAAGGGAGACTAGGGTCTTGGGGAAGTATAGAAACCATGCTTCCCGTGGTCATGAAGGCACCTTCCATGTTAAGACCACTCTCTTTATCTCGAAGAATTGTCATCATTGTCTCAGCTGTTATGTTGCCTAGATAAGATAGGTTATTTGTTTAATACTGTATATACCACCCATTTAATATTTATGCAAAATTGCTAAAAGGCAGGAATAAAGCAACTAGTATATTGATAAGAAATGGCAACACGGTAACTTTTTTCTTTTCAACTTTAAATTTTAAAGTAACTGCTAAATACTTACCTGTTTACTCTGGCAACCCCTGGAATTTTTGTGGCCCTGCTGTATTTGTTATGGTTCATCACACAGCCAGACAGATGTTCAGACTGGATTTGTCTGACTAACGAGTTCTTCCCAAGGACCTGATATATGCTATTACTATTACTATTATTTAATTTTAGAAATATTGTTTTAAGCTTTTAATTGTGGTTTATTGTTGGGAGCCAGCCTAAGTACTGTGAAGTGATAGTGCAAGGAGTACCTCTAAATAAATAAATGTGCTTGGTATCTTTTTCTCAAATGAGAGGATATGAAAAGCACCATTTTGTTTCCGCTTCTAACAACAACAACAAAAAAATTGGATCACACCTGCAGTTTCTGTTGTAGAGAACAGAAGTCAAATGGGCTTCTGGTTATGCAGAGAAAAAGGTAACAAAAAATCCTGCAGGAAAAAGTAAGTAGAGCAAAACAGGAAAATATAAGAAAGCAAGGTGGAGAAAGAGGTGTTCCATGAAAATGAGAGATGAAGCAGAAGGCAAAAAAGAAGAGCAGAAGAAGAAGAAGAAGAAGAAGAAGAAGAAGAAGAAGAAGAAGAAGAAGAAGAAGAAGAAGAAGAAGAAGAAGAAGAAGAAGAAGAAGAAGAAGAAGAAGAAGAAGAAGAAGAAGAAGAAGAAGAAGAAGAAGAAGAAGAAGAAGTAGTAGTAGTAGTAGTAGTAGTAGTAGTAGTAGTAGTAGTAGTAGTAGTCAAGGTATATATGCACATGATCAAGAGTTGGATGTAGGCTGGAGATTAGACAGTCTTGAAATAATCAGCGAAATCTCTGATCTCAGGCATCTGTAAATCTAAAAAAATCCACTTTCTTTGCATGGTGACAGTCACTTTTCCAATCTAGATTTTCAGCATATCTTCCTGTAAATTCAGAATATTCAGTAACCATTTTAAAATAGCAATTGCAGTATTTAAGGTAATTCCTTTGTATCAATTTTAGAAGTTTTCCTCTTAAATAAATGAAAATAAAATATTAAGAGACCAGGGAGGTTTACAACAACGATTTTCTCTCAACTAAGTTAAAAAAAAAAACTCCTGAATTGACTGATCACTTGATCACCCGGTGTGACTTAAAAGTGATTCAGGTAAGTACCTGAAAAATAGGGATTTAGCAGAAATATACTAATAGAACTCCAAAACATCCTTAACCTTAAACAAGCATTAAAAAGATGTTCAGCTTGAAGAACCTGCTATTCTGCCAATGAATGAAATTTGCATGATTACAGGGCAATCACACAGGCAAGGAATCCCCAGTAAAATGAATATTGAAACAGAAGGGTGCAACTGTGTTTGGCTTATTTTTTTTTTCAAAGCACACATTCCAATTTGTATGTTGAAGCTGATAGTAGCAAGGGAGAAATATGACCTTTTCCCTGACTCCGTCATTTTGGAAACTCTAATAACGCTTCAAAGAAGAAATATTTCAAAGTGGTGTGTCCCCTCCAAATGTGTGGTTAACACTGCAACTCCAGAATCCGTGGGCAGCAGGGCCATTGATTACACTGTCTGAGAATCTGGAGATGTGCAACCTGAGCACATGAAGAGATCAGACTGGAAAAGGCAGCCTTAGAGAATGTGTTTCTGGCAGGATATTTTTGGATAAACACAGAAATCGTGTTTTAAATAATATAAACAGTGGGAAAGAGATGGGGCAGAAAATAGATATGGGGAAAGAGAGACAGGTGGAAAAGAGAAAGACAGAAAAACTTTAAAATTGCTAAAGGGCTTAAGTTGCCAATTCAGGGGGTATTCTATATCTAGAAAGTATCGGAACTCCTTGCATAGACAAATAATAAATGGATAATACATTTTAATGTTGTAAGATCCCTTGCTGCATTTGATTCAGGAACTATGTAGATGATCCAAGTTATCCAGTACATAAAACTATGGTAAAACATCAGAAAAGAGACTTAAAAACAGTATTTTAGGATCTAGTCTGGGCCCTCACTGAGACAGAGGTTTAGTCTTCCAAGCTTTTAAACTCGTGCTGGAGCCCATCTTCAGGGGATGTCTATTCTAAAGTTCCCTGAGGATGGGCTCCAGCATGAATTTTATCCATTTATCCTGTTCTTTCAGATTATATATAGAATATATATAGAATCTCATTAAACACTACATCCAAATCCAACTATAAAATGCAGCTATAAGATCTTCTATAACTTAACAGAGGTACCTGCATATTTCTTTAGTAGTTTATAGCCTTCACAGTATCTGCCCCTTGCAGTTGTCATTCTGGCAGTATTCACATATGAGTACGTGGCAGCAAAATCAAATACTTCTTTACCATCCCACCAGCCTTTGCTTAAAGCATAATTCCTTAGCTCTGGATGTTCACGGTCAATTTCTGTTGTGATGGATAGCTGGTTGGAAATATTCCGTGTTCCTTCTGTTTAAAAGGGAGAGGAAAACATGCTATTACACTTCTAAATGTTTCTGCCCCAAACTGACCTACTTAAAAATTATTAAACTGAGATGTCTAAATTTACTGTTAGAAATTTGGGAAGAAGCTACTGTAAATCCCACAATATGAATGTTGACTGCTTCTTGACCCACTCCTTCCTCATTTGCAATAATTATATTTGGCCATAATAAACACACTGGGCCAATTATAAACTAGACTTTTTCTCCCAGCTAAAACTAAATAACCAACAAATATCAATTTAAGCACTAGCACTAACTGAAAACCATGACTGGAAAAAAGAAATTAAGCACATGATCAGAAGAAAGCAGCCAGATCTTGGCAACTGAAATGGGGGCCAGTTTTTAATATAATGCTGAGATTTTTCATTACAACTGTTCACCAACTTATTTTTTTAAAAAAAGATGAGGATAAGGCATGTTGCAAGGAACTGCTAATCCCCCCCCCCTCCATTTGCCTCAGAGGATCATGGAATGTATGGGCAGAAAGAATAATTTCTAAAATGTTTTCCTTTTCTCACCCATTCTCTTTTTCTTCAGTGCTGAAGAAATCTGAAGAAAGGGAAGTAAGTTGCCGCAGAAGCCTTTCAGGCTTAAATGAGGATTATAGCTGCTTTTTATTTTTAAAGGTTCTGCTGGCAGAGAATCCAGATTGTAACTGAGCTGAAACAGGCTTGCTTTCTGTAAAAACTGTAATAGCATTAGTGACATCACTTTTATCAGTATAGCACTGGAGAGAGAGGAGAGAGGAGAGAGAGGAGAGAGAGGGAGAGGGAGAGGGAGAGGGAGAGAGAGAGAGAGAGAGAGAGAGAGAGAGAGAGAGAGAGAGAGAGAGAGAGAGAGAGAGAGAGAGAGAGAGAGAGAGAGAGAAAGAGAAAACTGTGTGTAAGTAAATAGTTAGGTAGACAGACAGATGATAGATCAGGAGTGTCAAACTCGCTGCGTCGCGTGACATGTTGCGATGTATCGCAACTTTTTTCCCCTTGCCGGAGCTGGGGTGGGTGCAGCTTCTGCATGACACATCCGGCCCGTGGGCCGGCAGCTTGACACCCTGGATTAGATGATAGATGATACTGTAGATGACAGATATAGACAGACAGAGATAGATGACAGGCAGGCAGGCAGGCAGACAAACAGGCAGACAGACAGATATGACAGATAGACAGACATTGTCCAGTGAGAAGTCTTAAAATTGAATAAAGGTTATTATTTATACCTTTTACTTTCTCTGCAGCCCAGTGCTTTCCAGATGTTTCCAGAATCCAAGCTTCTTTTCTGTCCGTTATCAAAAAGCTGTTATGGTAGGTAAATGTCATTTGACTTTCCATACAGTTTCCACCTTGATTATACTTGTCCACCAATTCAACGATAACACCGACAGCTTTTTCTGCAGTATCTGCTCTTTCAAGTCCAAGCCTAAAATCAAATCAAAGGGTTTTAGCATTCTGTAACTTTCTTCAACTTCAAAAGACAGAATTTGCACCTGCTCATTTATTTCTCAATCTGGGCTCATGTTCAGAACCTTAAAACAAAGTTTTTGGGATGAAAACTATCACACACACCTACACAACATCCTAGCAACTACAGAACTGCCATGACAGAGGTGCCATTTGTCTGTTTGTCCATGCAAAAGTTTCCTACAGACATCCTTGAACTGGTAGGCTGTCTATAGGGAAACCAGATTTTATGAACTACAAATGACTTATGACCACAATTAGGAGTGGAACTTCTGTTGCTAAGTGATCTAGCCATTAAGTGAAAAATGGCTGATTTTACGACCTTTTTTGTTGTTGTAGTTGTTAAGCAAATCACTGCGGTCACTAAGGGAATCCAACTTCCCCCATTGACTTTTCTTGTCAGAAGTACCTGGGAAAGTCACAAATGGTGATCATGGGACCCTAGGATACTGCAACCGCATAAATACAGTACATTCCAACTGCTAAGTGCCCACATTTTTGATCATGTGACTGTGGACCCTCCGAAGGTTGCCAATGTGAGGAACGGTTGCAAGTCATTTTTTTCAGCACTGTCATAACTTCAAGTGGTCATTAAATGAATGGTCATGGGTCAATAACTACCTCTAGTGCAGTGGTTCTCAACCTTTTTAATGCCGCGACCCCCAACCGGTCGTAAGTCGAGGACTAAACCGGTCGTAAGTAGAGGACTACCCAACCGGTCGTAAGTCGAGGACTTTCCCTGCCCGGGAGCGCCGCGCATGCGTGGTTCCGCCCCCTGCGCCGGCCGAAGCGTAGCTGGCAAGCGGCAGAGACGGAGCAGGCCAACCACCAGCTGGCCCAGCCCAAGGGAGGTAAGGCACCCGCCGGAAAAGGGGGAAAAAATGGCGGACAAAAAAAATGGCGGACAGCCTTGCTTGGCGACCCCCGTGAAATGGTCGATCGACCCCAAATGGGGTCCCGACCCATAGGTTGAGAACCACTGCTCTAGTGTCTTGTAGCTTTCATAGTTTCTGGACCAGGTCTATGTAGTTCCTTCAAAAGCTAGGTTTTAGTTTTCCATTTTAGCAGCACAATTCTGCATTAAGCCCCCATTTACCCCATAAACTCTCCAGGTCAAATATTAGTGTTGTTTATTTTCCATCTCATACAGTAGTTTCCAGAGGTGGCTGTTTGACAAAGCACCACAAGTAAAAACAACCAATTAGTTTCCACTTGGTTTCACATCTTATCCAGCAGACTTAATGACAACCTGACAAGGTCCATGCCAAGGAGTGCTTCATCACTGCAGACGTCTTCTTTTCCCCATACGGCTTCATTCCCAATGCAGACTCCACATTCATTGGCTCCCATTTCAGCACCCCATAGCCAGGATGGACGGCTCAGGACAACTGCGTACGTTTTTGGTACTTGTTCGATTTCTATGTAAGTACACTGCAGGAATGATAATTTCAAAAATATTTTATGAATTACTTTTTAAATCACATACAACAGATACAGTACTTCTCCGCACTTTTATTATAATGCTCTGGGAGCCTCATAGCTCTCACTGGAATTATAAGATTCTTTTGAACAAAATGGTCCTGGAATTTAGAGGTTCCAGTGGAAGGCAACGAGAGCAAAAATCTGACTGCCCTCACAAATTTGTTCGTATTGTCTAAAAATATAGCAAATTATGGGCTCAAATCCTTCCTTCAATACCATTTTTTTTCTTATGAAAACTACATCTAAATTCAGCGGAACTATTTTCATGCAAGATTTTATGTTTAAATTCAGGATAAATGGCTACAGACCGGAATTAGAAAGGAATTCCAAGAAGTCGATAAAGTGTTTTTCAAACAAGCAACCGCCCTAAGTGGAAGAAAGGAGACCTATACCCCTAAAATATATCCTAAATATTCTAAGCTAGAGAATATATTTTGTTGGAATGGCCTTGAATTGTCTATCTCTTGCTGTACAAGGTAAGGAGAAAAATCATTCAAATTTAGATGTTCTGATATTCTATACCAAACCAAATATTGATGAAAAGGATTAAATAATGTACTTGCTTGCAAAAGTTCTTAAATACCACATGCCTGAAATTATGGAGAACTACTTCCGTTTGGTGCAAATAATAGTAACCAGAGTCATACACATTGTGCTGAACCATTGTTTGCTTAATCATGGTTTGGTTACAACTGGCTTGGATTAAATAATGAATTAAATCATAAACCACAGTTTATACATTGTAATGGCCGAGTTCGCAGAATACACAAAACCCGAATTCAGACAAATCATACCATGGTTAATTGCAACCTTTAGCCAAAACCTGACAGCTAATTTGTATTCTCCACTGATCAGATTTGGAATCAGACAGATTTTGATGGCTGGGCAACTTCCATTCTTGGCTTACAATTTCAATCCAGTATAGGTGTCTACTAGAATCTTCAATGATGCAAAAATGATGAAAGATACATCATGACAAAATAAATCTCTTTTTCTTTTGTACCTGTGTCCAGATTTGACTGTAAGTTTACAGGTCACATAGTTTGCATCAAAAATACACATTTCATCATTCCAATTCTATGTAGATATCTATGCAGGCAAGCTATACAATTGCACAAGCATGTGATTTTGGATATAAATATGTTTATTTTATCTTTTAAGTTTCTCAGATAAAACTTCCCAATAGGTTTTATGACATTTCTAGAAATGTTGCTCTTACCTCAATTTTTTGTCCCGGATCATGAACAGCAGCAGGAAAAAACACAATCTCCTGGACTTCATCAGAAGGCCTATCAGAATTTTTTCCAAAAATGACTTGGCCACCTAGTGTGGCTGGAGGCAGAGCCACAAAAGTATCACAGGAAAGGGGTTCAGCAATACTATTAGCCATCCTGAAAAATAAAGTAATAAACAATCACATCTCTCTGATTGCTCAATAACTGATAAACCACTATCATATTTTCCCTTGGGATAAATATTTTACGAAAAATATAGTGTTCATTGTCCAAGATAACACATGCCCCTATAACAAATTCTCTCTCAAATATATGGACTAAATAAATCATTGAACAGAGCTACATGTGTCTAGACTAGTGTTTCCAACTTTAGCAACTTTTAAGATATATAGACTTCAACTCTCAGAATTTCCCAGCCAGCAAAGTTTAGAAACACCGATCTAGAGATCAGGAGAATTTTAGATCTTTTAGAGACATCCATCATTCAACCATTTTTCCCACTCTTTATTACTGACAAAATTATTGAAATTTCCATAGGTTCTAGAGAAAAGATTATCCATGATTCAATTTCATCTTAAAGTGGATTTCTCTGCCCACTTGAATTACAAAATAGGCTGCGTGAATGCAGATGCTTTTTGAGATCAGATGCCAGGCACATAAGTAAATACTATATACGGAAGCCAGTTTGGTTAAGTAGTTAAGGTGCTAACCTAGAAACTAGGAGACAGTGAGTTCTAGTGTCTTCCTTGGGCATGAAAAACTAACTTGGGTGACTTTGGGCCAGTCACTCTTTCTCAGCCTAACTCATCTTGCAGGTTTGTTCTTATGAGGAAAATAGGAGGAGGGAGTATTGTTATGTTTGTTACCTTCTATATAAAAAAGGTAGGGGTTTTTGTTTTAATGGAATAGGCAGCAGGAGGAGGAGCCTATCAAGGGAAAACTGCAGTTGCACATAAGAAACCAGAAGTGGGAAGGAAAGAAGGAAGGGAAACATAGCCAGGCTAAATCAAGCGACTGTCAGAAAGACAGAGGAGGCAACTCCATCCACATTCTCCACTAGCACAAGTTTGTCCCAAACATTGCAAGGAGGTTGCTTTTCCCACCCTGGATGCTTCTCAGAACTGGGCTGGTGGAAGACCAATAGGGGAAGATTTGTTTTCAAAACCACAGCAACCCCACTGCTTACTGATTAGCTTCTAGGCAGCTTACACGAATAACAATAGATAAAACAGGCTTTTAGGGAGCCACAACACGAGTTGCTAAGGTTAAGGCCCTACATTTTAGAGTACAGGCTTCCTTTCTTCCCCTTAGGGCGGCTGCTATCCCAGTTTTATTATCTTTGAGAAATACCCCATCAACTTCTTGGAATTCCTTTCTAATTCCAGTCTGTGGCTCCTTATCCTGAATTTAAAATTAAAATCTTGCACGAAGATGCGGTTCTGCTGAAACTTGCAGCTAAATTTGCAACTACAACTCCTGCCTCTGCTCTACGCTGGGGCGTCGGTTCCCTTTTAACCATTCTGGCTTGCCGAGCCCTGTTTTATGGCTTTACGTGTCTAAACCAGAGCCTGCTAGCTTGCGCAACCCAGACCCTCACCCAGAGTCGCTTTCTTGCTCCCGCAAAGCCCTACGTCAGACCCCACAACTCGGCCTGGCGTCGCCGCCTTTGCCTTGCGCGTTGCAGGCGCCGCGCTGATGCTTTTTCCGCCCTTCCAGTTCGCCCTGCAAAGGCAGCTTCCCGGCCTTCTCCGCCAGCTGCAGGAAACGGCGCTGTTTGCCGCTCTCGCCCCGGAAGCCCCGGGTCAAAGCCGGAGCTAGCCCGGGTGAAGTAAACAGAAGCTGCGCGGAGGAAGGCCGCAGGCACCGTCGCGACGTAAAAAAGCACCGCCGCTGCCGCCCTTTCTCTTTCTCCGACCCCGCTGCCGGCGCAGCCGCCGCCTCGCCACCATGGGGAAATCATTCGCTAACTTCATGTGCAAGAAGGACTTTCACCCGGCCTCCAAGTCCAATATTAAAAAGGTGAGCTGCCGTCGGTCGGGGCCATTTCCCGGAGGAAAGCCGGAGAGAGGCTCCCTTTCCCTCCCTGCCACCCGTCGACGTGGAGGCCCGAATCAGAGATGTTTATAGTCCTCGACTTACAGCAGTTCATTTAGTGACTGTTCGATGTTAAAACGTCACTGCAAAAAAAGTGACCCGTGATCCTTTTTCACACTTACGACCTGTGCTAGCATTTCCGTGGTCACCGTGTGGCCAAAATTTGGATGCTTGGCAACTGGTTCGTTTGTTTATAGTGATTGCAGTGTCCCCGGATCGTGTGAACACCTTTTGCGACCTTCTGACCAGTAAAGACAGTGGGGAAGCCAGATTCACTTAACAAACAGCCGGGTTATGTGGCAGTGATTCACTTAACAACAGTGGCAAGAGAAGTCGTAAATTGGGGCAAAACTCACTTAACAAATGTCTCACTTAGCAACAGAAATGTTGCGCTCAGTTGTGGTTGTAAGTCGAGGACTATCTGTATTGATTAGTCCAGGGTTAGGCAGCCTTGGCTCGTTTATGACTCGTGGACTTCAACTCCCAGAATTCCTGAGCCAGCCATGCTGGCTCAGGAATTCTGGGAGTTGAAGTCCAGAGTCATAAAAGAGCCAAGGCTGCCTACCCCTGGATTAGTTTAAAGGAGCTTTCAGAAGTTCTCCTTGTCTACTCTTCTTTCCTCCTGGGGTGAGGGGTGGGGGGGGGAGGTCTTCTGAATATATATCCTGGGCACACAAAAAATCCCCTCCTGTCCTCCAAAGTAAATAAATAAAATCCCAACATATTGCCAATGTACCCCCTCTTTTCTCCTGCCTCTGCTTTGCTTTGCTTTGCTTGGAGATAATTGCCCAGAATTTGTTGTTTCCATTATGAGTCCTCATTACATTACATTTTAACAAAAGAGTGGGACAGGGTTCCCCTTTTATACTATGATGTCTTGTTTTGTTTCCTAGTCTTAGGCACTTCTTTTCCACAGTGTATCCTATTGAATTTAAAACAGGTGCCGGCTACTAGATTGTAAATTTGCAGCTATAACATGTTGTTTTATATAATTAAGAATAAAGATGGGGCAGAAATAAAGTGGGATGAAGGAATTTGCAATGGAAGGGTATAGGAGGAGAAATTATCAAATGGATCCCCAGACATCATTAAAGCTTGATCAGGAAAACTTCCCGATACTTTGAAGTACTATTCCCATAGATCCTTGACAGCCATGCTGGCCTGAACTGAGGAGAATTAAAGTAAAAAATCACTTGAAGTATTTCAGGTTATCTATCACTGGCATAGAGCCAGTTTTGTCTAGAGGTTAAGGCATCAAAATAGAAACTGGGAGACTAGGAGTTCTAGTTCTCCCCTTAGTCATGAAAGCTAGCTGGGTGACTATTATGGTATGTTCCGTGATCATAAGTGATAGTAGTCCCACAGAGCATAGTGAGCTGGAGTTCATCTTCAATTTCTAATAAGAAAGCTAATTTCTGTATTAAATATTTCTGTTAAAAGGCCCATCATTTCTTACTGGAGTCTTTCAAGAACACCTGGATGGTTTGGGGTTTTTTTGGTAATTAAAGTTACAGAATTTTAGAGCAGTGTGAATGCAATATGAAATTTCAGAAAGAGAAAGGAGGGATTTTTTCAAGAATGATACTTAAATCAATTTATTCTAACTAGGTATGGATGGCAGAACAGAAAATATCTTATGATAGAAAGAAACAAGAAGAATTAATGCAGCAATATCTTAAAGAACAAGAATCTTATGATAACAGGTGAGATGTGGCTCATTATTTTACACTTGGGTGATAAAAATCCATAATCAAAGTATAACCCTCTAAATTTGTGACTCTTATTAGTTATCTTTATTATACATGTTTGTTTTATATTGTTCCAGTATATGATTGAAATATTTTATTTGCTACAAACATCTCTGAGAAAGATGTTGTTTATCTAATCAATGTATATGGCCATTCAGCTCAAAAATGGGACTCTGCGTAACAAACAATAAAAACTCCAAAATAACAACCAATATGGTTGAAAATAATTATAACCAATAATCAGATATAATGTACGCAAGATCCAAAACAGTGTGTTCCATCATGCAATCAGTGGCAGGCATAAAAACCAGCTGGGTTCATATGACATCCCAGCTCCAGAACTGAAGGGAAAAGCCAGGTCTTTAAAGCTTTGTGGAAGGTGAGGGCCATCCAGATCCCATGGAAGATGCTGTTCCATAGAATAGGTCATTGGGTCATTGAAGCAGTGCTATGAAGCAATTTCTACTTTATACAGTCTGCAAATCTTCCTTTGCCTCGCTTCCTAGGGATTTAGTCTCAGATCACATGCAATGCTCAGACTGAAAGGTCAGAGAATAACAGTTTTTTTAAGAATTGCCTTCAAAATGTGGATTCTTCTTTTTTTAAAAAAAATGTTCTCAGCTCCATTGGTGCATTAGAAATGTACATGACAAACTAAAATGTTTGGAATTAAAGTTGAGTCTAGGAATACATTTGGGGCTGAACTTCCCGTGTTTAAAAAGTAATTATTGCTTAATCCAGAATTATTATTATGTACTGCAGATATTTAAAGTGCTAGTAAAAAAAAAAGAGCTATGTCTTATTGTAGAAGCATGCTACCTTTATTTTAAAATATATTTTGAATCAATATATATTTCTTGCAATATATCATAATTTTTTTATATGTTTATAAAGATTGCTTATGGGAGATGAACGTGTCAAGAATGGTCTAAATTTTATGTATGAAGCGCCACCTGGAGCAAAGAAAGGTAATTTTAGTTGTTTAGCAACTAACACAATATTTACCAACAATTGTATGGAAACTATAACACTCATCAAAGATTCTTGATCATTTGGTTTTAATTGTGACAAACTTTTTCCTGCAGATTCTTTTTACACCTGTGCTCATCATTATCTTTTTTCCCCTTTTTAATTATAACTGAAAAGTATTAAAGAATTACAGTTAACATCTGGAGGAATAAATACTTTCCTAGCAGAAAATTTCAATTCTGGGTGTACCCAGATATGGGTGAGAAAGATCACTCTCTCAAACACAGGGGAGCTGTTGCAGTTGGGTAAGACCAAATGTCTTTCACATGTGAAGAACTGACCCCATCTGATGTAATCCAGATATGTTGGGCTTCAATTTCCATTCTGGCCAGGGCTTTTGGGAGTTGAAATATAACACATCAGGGTGGTGTCAGTTTGAAGAGTGTGGAATAGCAGTATTCCACTATTCCATGATTTGACTTGGTACAAAACAGCTTTTTTTTATAATAGATGATATTGCAGACCTTAAGGGAGACCATTAGAAACTACAGCCAACAGTATTAGTAAAAGAAAAAGTTTGCACAATTGTACAAACCACAATTGTTGGTTTCAGAAGTTGGGTCCTGTGTTGTAGTGGACATGATTTCATATGCTATTTTGTTTGTTTCTTGTAAACTGAATCAAAACATTGTGATGTGCAGAGCATCTTATCACTTCTAGAATTGAAAGCAAATTTATGAACTGACAATTGCTTCTCTAATCAACAATGAAGTTCATATTCATTCTTACACCCCTGCTAATGTTCCATGTGTAACTATCCTCTCACAAGCAGCTGCAGTAAAGTGACTTAAAATTAGGAAAATGCAGTAATAGTACCTTCTGCAATTTGCCATAGTTGGAAGCAGTGTACATCTTGTATTCAAATGAGGTGTTCATTTGGGAGGAATGGTTATCAGCCCACTGACAAACACTGCTGGAAAAGTGGTAGTGGGCATACCTGGGACCCAGATAGGACTTATTATCCATCTTATTGTTAAACATGTCATGCAGATATAGTCAAAGCCTCTAATCAGAGTATGAGCCTCTAAGAAAGACTGAGATGGGAAATGTTTAATTTCCCGTATGGCAAAAAAAAGTCTATTGATGCTATATAGGAAGTTGGAGAGGATCCTGTGTTCTTTTCAAATATGCTAGAAGATTCCAGTCTTTGAATCATTTTAGGCAAAGAGCTGAAAGGCTTCTTCTGATTTAAACTTTAACCCTTGCAGATTGGTCGTGCAATAGTGGATTAAATATTCTTGTTCTTATACAGTGTATTTGGTTTTGTAAAAGAAATAAGTATCAGATTACTGAAGAGTAAGTTTACATGTGGTGAATTTCTTGAGTATGATTACATAAAGCTGCAGTCTTTATCATAAATCTATAAGACACACATTTGGTTATGCATAATTAAAAAGGAAATACTAAATTTTAGTAGACAAACTTTATAAAATAAGGTGTTTTTCAGAGGTCTGTGAATTGCATGATCTGAATGTTTTTGCCTACTGAATGCCTCATCTAATGGTCTGCCTTATCCTATTCCCTACCATTTCATCATGATCATCAAACAAGAAACCAAAGAGGTAATTTTGATGTTTAATTTCTCATGTTTTCTCATATTTCAAAATCTCAATGTGTATATAAATAACAGCTTGATTTTATGTGTTGTTGTTTAGCAGGAGGGAGAAACTGACTACAAATTTGAATGGCAGAAGGTAGCTCCTCGTGAAAAGTGAGACTTACTGCTTGATACTTTGACTAATGTATTCTGAGAGCTGTTTACATATATGTGTTCTTTAAGGAAGAAGACTGTTGTCTCAAGCTGTATATTTTACAAAATAAACAGAGGCACGCCTTTTCAATAGGCAATACCTTTTGTATTTTTCCACAGAAATAGATCAGCTGAATACATGATTTACTATATCAGATCTTAGAATAAAAATATTAATAAGTGAAAGGAAGGCAAAAAATTACCTAAGAATATTATTGACCAAATGCTGTAAAGTGCATATTCTGTGTTTAGATGTTACTTTCACATGATATCTAGCATTTTACTCTAGGACTTCATGTTACATAGTTTCTCTTGCTCTTTACTGCCCGTCTGGAGTTCCCAAATCTGTCTCAAAACACATCTCAACCTTCTGAAGCAGATTCAGTAGGAGATGAAGCCTAGCAAGAGAGAGACCAGAGCTATTTGCAAGTGGTTCACTCCACCAGCAGACACATAATAAGTAGATTCAAACAGTATGAACAAAGTTCCATATTTATAAAACTTTCCCTCTTCTGAAACTGCCCAGGATGGAGAGAACAATGAAATCCAAGGAAACCATTGTGCTAATACTTTTTCTGTATATATATTGATTCAAAATGTCAGCCTATTATTTTTCTGTTTAAAAGATAAATATGCAGCACTCCAAATTGAAGAATATTCAAGCCTTATACAACTTAAATTTGCATTAAAACTGAAACAGCTTAACCACAAAGAGCAGAGGCAAGAGACACATAAAATAGAACAATAAAAAAACTAAGAAGCAATGGTGGTCTATTAAAATAGCAAGAATAATGAGTAGAGCAGGAAAGCACATAAAAACGATGAAAGCTGCACTATTTTAGATCACTAAAAATCCACGAGCCTTGACTCGGTGAATGTAGCAGGTTGAATTAAAAAAGGGTGAGAACAGATCTTCCAAAGGGTATGTAAAAGTTTGTTCTTGCCGTCTAATTTAGGCTTTCCCAGAAAGCAGCAATCTGGGGGTCTTATTTAGAAATGATGTTAAACAAACTATAAGTAGAGATTTCCCTTTTTATTTAGCCTTTCTTGATATCAGGAAGAACCAACTCTATATCTAGATGCTTTTTGGATAAATGTGAATAAATTAGAATTCGGAAACATTTTGATGCTGTGATTTCTACATCTTTAACAATTGAAGCCATAGGCTGTATCTTGTTTGAATCCCCAGTAACTAGTAATTGTAATTCTTTTTAATGCATACAGTAAGTAATATAAGTATGCATCTTTTTTGTATTTAACAGGTATGCTAAGGATGACATGAACATTAGAGACCAGCCATTTGGCATCCAGGCAAGTTTTATGCATTGCCTTCCTTCTATTTAGGATGGATTTCATGTATTCAGTAGTTTACAATAAATTACATTAGGTTTGTATTATGAAAACTTTACTTTGGATATAATGGGATAAAACATAGTATTGAAATGTGAAATTAAGTCTATATGAATCATTTTCAGGTGAGGAATGTGAGGTGCATTAAATGCCACAAGTGGGGCCACGTAAACACAGACCGAGAATGTCCTTTATTTGGCCTTTCTGGAATTAACGCAAGCTCTGTTTCCAGTGATGGCGCAGGTAGGTGTTTAAAATGTATTTCAGTCAATTTATCAAATAATGTTGAGTTATATTTATCTATATTTTATTGAGTTCAGCAACAATTGGGTGCTTAACTTTGCAGGATTCAAACTGAAGGTCTTCTGTAAATGCTTTTAGGTATCTTAGGTAAAGAGAAAGTCTTTTTGTGTGCTAATGAATTTTCCAGCCACTGTGATTCAGTCAGTATTCCAGTGCTCAGGGTTTGCATGGAGTTCTCTATAAACATTAGAACCACCAAATTGTAATTCATGTTCGTATCCCACCTACAAACAGGTAACTGATTCCATGGTAGTGTTTCAGATAGAGTGATTTCAGGATGATTACACCCAAACTATTGAAAAAAATGTCTGTAAGGAACTAATGAGAACTCTTTAAAAGTAGTCGTTAAAAGCAAAACAGCTCCATACCAAGTAATCAAAAGAAATAATACTCTATTGGGATATGATTTTTCTTCCTATTTCCTCGACTGTAATGCTAATCTATTTGTTGATTCAGACTTTTAAAAATATAATCTTTCCACTTTCAAAAGTGTCCTATTGAATAATATATCTTGCTGGTGAATGGAGATTATTTTTGCAATAAGGCAATTTCACTGGATGTGGTTTTCATGGGATAATCACATCCCTGGGGTACAGCCTTGGCTGTAATCTCCCAGGACTGTAATTATTTCATGACAACTGTACTCCCCCCCCCCCCCCCCCGATGATGCATTTATTTCCATTATGAAATCTTAGTCCGACATATAAAGTAACTTACTTTGATCACTGGAAACCACATGGTAGTGAGAGAATGTTCCAGCTGTGCAGTTTACCGAGACCCACTATAAGATTTACTACATCCCTTTACAAAGTTAAATTAGGCAATCAAAATGCTGTTTTACCCTAAGCTGTTTGGGTTTTTATTTTTTTAAAAAAATACTGATATTAACTTTTAGGATTCCTAATAAAAAAGGCAAAACTTTTTGCTCTACTTTTCTACATGAATTGGTTGGCATGATGTGTGAACAGTTAGGCAAAGAGTTTCCTCACTGAAAGCAAACATTTGCTTTCTAATGAACTATTGGTATCTGTTAGTTATTACTGTTGCCAAACTATGACAGGAATACAGCTTCTTTGAGAAGCTAAACTGTCATTGCAGGTCAGATGCTGATCATCCAAAGCATCTTTTTCTCTATCTGAAAATAGGTGATGCCATGGTATTTCTCATGGTGGGGGGGAGGCATTAGTTTTGCGGTTGTCTTACAATTTGCCATAACACTTAGTTTAGTATTAGTTTTACATTACATGGGCATAGTTAAGTAGAATTTACTATTTCTAGCAGCTTCTTTACCAGATGTACACACCTATCCTGAGTGAAGCTTTTACTCCAGTTCTTCTTGCTATAATACGTTCAATAGCAGGAATAATTAAAATAAGAATGTACCCCTGCATTGGATTGTAATATTTTTCACTTTGCTGGGTAGGGCTGATAGGAGCTGGAGATCAGAGAAATTTGGAGGCACACACTGATGTTTATACAAGGACTAGAGCAGGGATTGGCAACCTTGGCTCTTTTATGACTCATGGACTTCAACTCCCAGAATTCCTAAGCCAGCACGGCTCAGCTTGGAAACCTCTCCCTTTCCCCTCAGCATGGCTGGCTCAGGAATTCTGGGAGTTGAAGTCCACGAGTCATAAAAGAGCCAAGGTTGCCTACCCCTGGACTAGAGCAACCACCCTTATTGGAGAACTAGAAATGGAAAGTAATGGTATCAATCATTTTAAGAACTTCGCTGTTAAATGGGATGTGCGGCACTATCTCAGCGCAAAATGATACTGAGCTATTGTGCATCTTTAGGACACCTTTTCTCTACCTTCCTGTACGATAGCAAACTCTCATTTCCCCCCCCCCCCACTACCTATTCACTCTGTTATCTATGATTCTAGAAAAGTTATTTTACAGCATTTAAAGTAATGTGAAAATTCTGAAAAATATACAAATATTTAGCAAAGTAATAAGTAGAGCCAAAGTAGTGTTCTGAATTTTTGCTAGCAAAACCAGAATAAATGATACAATATAAGAGAAATTGGTCAAAAGTTATTCTACAGCAAGTCAAAACATTCTATTTTTTGGTACGTATATTTGAATTGTCTGGATGAAGACTTTTTTTTATTTTTAATGTTTTTTAAAAAAGGGAAAAAAGGGTGAATAGTCTTCCTTCAGAAGGCCATGGTGATGACTGCTTCTTTCCTTTAAGGCTCCAGCCAACCAGGTCCTAATCCAGTGTATTAAGTGCAATATTCACAATTAATCTTAAAAATACAGGTTTTAAGGGGACCTTCGAATCATAATTTCTGTAGATACTCAGAATTATAGCATCCACCGTAAATATAAATGACTGATCATGGCTGATCTCCAGAAAGGAAAGCTCCCTGGCTTTCCTGTCAAACTGCTCATATAATTAAGAATTTTATCCTAAATTTCTACTGCAATTTTTCCCTCCTATGTGTTATGTACAATAAATCTACTCCTGGCCAAACAGCTGTTCTTTGTTTGATAAATCTTGTAATGCTCTCCCTCACTAAGTTTTCTCCAAACAAATGATCAGCCCACCAAGATAGGCCAAATCAAGAAACAGGTACCGCAAGGACTACTCATAGAAAAGGAGGCCCTAGGACAGCTTGGCAGGGACAGTCTTTGCCCAGCAACAAACATGACAAGATGAAATAGTCTCTGACATCTGCTCTCCTTGGCCACCAGAATTTCTGAGCACCCAAATGTTTTGAATACTACCCCTGGGCCTGCAGCGTATGGCAGAGTTATATTTATTCTGCAAAAGAAGGGAAATGTTTTAAATAGCTATTTTGAAGCCACTGTTCATTGACAGAAGAGGGGGCTTTCCCTGGAAGTCATTCATCCGAGCCCTGTTGTTGCTATACTCTAATCTGATGTGAAAGATGTGGTTATTTTGCTCATCCAACTTGGGAGCGGCATCTATGACATTTCCCAAAGGCTAGGTGTTGGAGCAGTTTGGGCAATTGCTTACTCTGTGCCTGCAATTCCACAGCTGATTCAGATTCAGATGTTGGAATTAATAAAGACTTGGCTGGGGGTTCTGCACCTGCACAGGTCTCTCTGCTGTTTTTATGCTGAGGAGAAGAAAGTTTTTATTGCTCCTATTTGCATGGGTTCTCCAGTGCTGACATCCAAAGAGGCAACAGTAGGGTTTGTGTGTGTGTGAGTGTGTGTGAGTGTGAGAGGGAGAGAGAGAGAGGCTGCAAAACCTCCCCTTACTATGAAACCTTCCCCCATGCCTCCGTTTTCTAATCACACATCAATTAACATGCAATATTGGAACAGCTCTTCCCAATTCCCTAGTATAACTTCACTTACTAACTCATCTCTCATTTCATCAAGTCCTTCTCAAACTGGGTCAATCTCTCTGGCAGATAATTGAAAATCCAATATGTTCTCACAAACTCTTGTGTTCAGCTTTTAGAACTCTCAATCTGGGGTTTGTCTCCTAGCTGAATCACCAGATACAGCTTTAAATCTTGGCATCAAGTTCTGATAATTATCCAGCATGGATCACTGCTCTCATTGAGAAGCACAGACCATTAAGCTGCCCCTTCCTTTGGTGGACCCACAACAAAAGCCACACACCCCCCAACCTGGAGTGATCTGTAGGAAATTCTACCGGCTGATCTAAACAATTCGCATCGTTGTGAAATTGATCTCAGGCTTCCAAATTTTTCTTTCAAATGTTCGTAGGAGTGAAGAAGTTCTGTTTGGGCTGTTGGTTGATGAACCTTGTCTCAGTTGCTCTCTTAGTTATATCATGACACTGTACAGGATTGTTAATTTTACAGCTGCACAGTTTATTGTATTGTAACAGTACCTCAACAAGTTGTGCTGTGAACAGCGGAATGTCCTGAGGATCTGATGCCATTTTACAACCAAAGGCAAGGTTCAATGCATTTCTGAATAGAAATGTAATGACCTCCCTTTAGAGGAGGTCACCACAAGGTCTAATGAAACCCTAATGTCTTGCTGTGAAATATAATAACAGAAACCTGAAAGCCAGTCAGACTTTCCTCTGCCTCCTTTTATGCCCAACAGAATCAAGGCACGTTTATTTTGAGTCTCTTTCTCACATTCTCTCCTTTCTCAGACCTCAAACCTAGTTTACAATCTGCTAATAGTTCTTGCGTACTTTTGCCAGGGTTTTCCTCCACACAAACATTTCTCCTCCTCCATTTTTCCTTTTTTTAACCCAAGAAATTGTTTTTCGTATTTTTGTTCATCCAACATTGCTGTCTTCTAAGCCTGTTTCAGTTTGTCTATCATTTTCTTGAGGTGGCACTCAAGACTCCAGATAGAAGTCCAGAGAAGGACCAATGTGGTGGAATCAGAAGATACTGTAGTGCTAGGATGGAAAGAGTCTGATTCTAGTTAACCAATTCTTCTTGGAATGTTCTTTATTTGAGGGTTAAATTAATTAGGAAAATAATTTGCTTGTAATCTTGATCTTCTGGTGGAAAGGTATAATATAAACATAACAAATAATGAAAAGCGTAATAAACTGAAATTGCTGCTTATCGCTTGAAAAATGTGATTTTGTTAATATGGATGAAAAATTTTATTAATCTTGTTTTCTAATGGCATCACACTGTTGATTCAGCTGGTGATTAACTGTAACCCAGTCAGTTTTTCCACAGCTTATAGTTGTGTACAGTGATAGTGCAGTGAATTAAAAACTTCACAGCCAGAAAATGGGATCAGTCTGGTAACTTGCTGTGAAATAACCAAGCCATAAGAAGATGCTTAACTCTCAGCAAACTTTCATGCTGTAATTTAATGTAACACACTTAATATTTTGTATACTAAAACAAAAATTAAATTCAGAATTTCTTATATAGGAATTGCTTTTCTACTTGCAATCGTACCACTTTAGATTGAGTCTGGGGTGCTAATCATAGGATAAATAAGGCAAATTAGTTAAGAAAACATTAATCTCATTAAAGTAAAATTTCTCTGCACAGTATGTAGGAAAATAAAGCCAGTGCGTGGAAATCTCTTCAGTTAAAGGAAACGACAAATGTATATTGTTTTGGAGCAGAGGCAGTAATAAGAACAAACAGAATGATTTCTGAACACTTTCATAAAGACGTAGACCTTAAACCTTTAAATAAACTTAAAAGCACAAGTACACCTTAAATAAACTTAAAAGCACTAGCTAAACTTTAAAAGCAAAAGTATTCAATCTTAAAATGCCTATTATGTACATATATAAAACATGTTTTAATTTTTTAACTTATTTTCATCAAGGATTTATGCTAGACTAAGGCTTTTTAAAATCTTTAACAGTTAAACGAGATATCAAGTATTTATGTTTTAAAAGGTGCTTTAAAAACCATTTGGATTTTCAGGCATCATGCGGTAAACAACACCTGATTGACCTTGAATAATTTTGGAAAAAACTAAGCAAGAGTGAACTACATTAACACCATTAGGAAACACTAGACTGTGAATGAGAATGGAAAGTTGAGAAAACATACCACGTCATTGCCAAAAACTGCTCAGCATGAAATCCCAAAAAGTTGACCTCAGTTTTATCCTACGATAGGAAAAATTATATGAGAGTGCAAGGATGAAGACCACCCTATATTACCATCCACCCTTGATCTTTTCAACATTTGATACATAGAGATTAGATGCAGTCCCTCAAAAGGAATACTTCCTTGGGGGTATCTTGATCCCCTAACAAGATAAATGAATTTGTCTGACACCATAAATAAAATTATTTCATTGGGTTAAGGTTAGGGCAGAAATTAAACATGCTGCATACTTTTAATAATGAATCTTATCTGTAGCCAAGGGTTCTTTTGACTTTCCATTCCTATAGCTGCCTGCTGTAGAAACACTGTCTACTCTGGTTCCTGCCTGCACTGGAAAAGGAACAGCAGAGCCCAGGGTGAATTGTAATAGGAAAGGTTTTTTTAAAAAACAATAACAACAACGTGATTCTCTAATGCATACTTTTGACGCCAGAAAATGTTTTAAGTTTGAAAGCTGGCTTGTTGTACTTCAGTTTATGTACTTGTATCAAATGCTTATAGCTAGACGTTACCTAAAATATATTGTTTTCAATGTGACAAAGTTACATAAGAAGAGAATCCCCCTTGCACTTAAAGAAAAATGCAATTATTTTCTATTCTGAATCTCTAGACTGCTGTTTTAGAAAATCGTATCTGATTATTTGCTCAGCAGAAGATTATTGCGTTGATTTAGCTATGATTTTACTTAACAAAGCTTCCACTGAATTTCCCACTGTGTAGTCCAAAGAAGGTAGAGAGATATAAATGATACATTCAAACTGTGATTTTGGTGAACAGGGCCATCGATGCACCCCTCAGAGCTAATAGCGGAGATGAGAAACAGTGGGTTCGCGCTGAAACAAAATGTACTGGGGAGAAACTTGACCGCAAATGATCCATCCCAGGTAATGATCTTTTTATCAGTAAGCTGAAAATGTGTGCAAATCTAAATGTGATTGGTTGTGAATTGTTGCTTAATGTTTTTGTAATATGCATAACCATGGGGACGCCAGATAGGTAGAGAAACCTTTGTGTCTGTTAAAAATACCGTCTGTTTTCCCACTTTTTTGTTAGCTGGAATGATAGTCTAGAATTTGTCCAATCCATAGTTTAATAAATGAAAAGCCTCCTGCAGGCTTTAGTAGAGATTTATTATCTACCAGAGGAAATGGTTTTGACTTTTCTTTACTTTGCTTATGATAGTAGCTGCTTTATCTAACTCTATCCCTGGGTGAAAAATAATGACAGTGCCGTTCAGGGGATGCCATACTTTGGCGGTGCAATTCGGAATGCTACCCTGTGTGTTGCTAGAGATTGTATCATTTCTCTCTGCATGGCTACCAGAAGGGAAGCTTGACAAATGTAGGGTAGACTCCTGCTTACCGGAGAGGGGAATATGTCACCAGAGCTGGAGTTGTGCTGCTATTTCTTTTGTTACTATCCTGCTTCTTGAATTTTACCTCACTTACAGAATAGTTAAACCACCTTCAGACAGAAGAACATGATGCTGCGCTTATCGATCAGAGGCCTTTCTCGTAAAATGGAGCATCTTAATAGCAAGATAAAGGAGAAATTTGTAGCTTGGAATGAAGGGCCCTTGGTGCTCTCTGAGCTTGGTTGTTTTCCTGCAGATGTTTCATTACCCAAACTGGGTAACATCATCAGTGCTAGTAAGGAGTGCAACTAAGTCCAAAAATACCAGGGAATTTCTAGAAACCTGGCACTCTGACAAATGTGGCATCAACAGACATGTAGACACTAACACATCTATAGCCTATGCAAAAGAGACAATCAATCAGCAAAAAGGGAATAAAAAGACCCAAGCACCTCTCCACCAGCAATCAGCACCTAGATCAGCATAGATTAACTCCATGATTAACATCAGACCAACAATCAAGTACACAAGACCCCAATCAAGAAATTGCCAAAGAAGCCAACAGTAAACAGCCCAAGAATCTCTCAGACCTCCCCCACCAACACTGACAGGGCAAGCCACTAGAATACAAACAGACAGCAAACTGCACTCCTTATAGCACTGATCATGTTACCTAGTTTGGATAATGAAACGTCTGCAAGAAAACAAGCTCAGAGAGCACCAGGACCCCTCATACAAGTTTCTAGATGCTTTGTGTTCTTGTAGTGTCTCACACAAGCTCCACAGCACAAGTTCCTTGTAAATGGGACCGTCAGGCGATACTGTTTGAACATGGTTTTTCTAATGTCCTCCAAATTGGCTATTCAGGCTGGAAATTCTGGAAAAATAAAGCATCTTATGGGTCCCAGGCTCCCTTTAAACTACACTACACATGAGGACAACGTACAGGTAGTCCTTGACTCACAACGGTTCCTATAGTGACTGTTCAAAGTTACAATGGCACTGAAAAAAAGTGATTTGTGAACATCTTTCACACGTATGACAGTTGCGGCATTCCTATGGTCATGTGATCGAAATTCAGATACTTGGCAACTGACTCATATTTGTGACGGTTGCACTGTCCCAGAGTCATGTGATCACCTTTTGCAACTTTGTGACGAGCAAAATCAATGGGGAAGCCAGATTCACTTAACCATCGTGTTACTAATTTAACGACTGCAATGATTTGCTTAACGATTCTGGCAAAAAAAAATATATCATAAAATGGGGCAAAACTCACTTAACAACTGTCTTGCTTGATGACAGAAATTTTGGGCTCAATTGTGGTTTTAAGTCAAGGACTACCTGTAATATTAGGATGGTTGCAGATTAATGCACTTAAGCCTTGAATTGCTCCAGCTGGGTAAAAGGGTATTTAAAAAAAAGAGGGGGGGAACAGATGTGGCTGAAAGGAAGTAACCCCCTTAACTAAGCCAGCCAGTTGATCCTATTCCTGTGCATTACCTTGGTGCTCTTTTCTTCGTTGCAGCATTAGATGTTCTGCCCCTCAAAATAATATTTTATTCAACTATCTTTTAAAATATATACTGCTCAAAAAAATAAAGGGAACACAAACTCCTTCAGTTCCATGTTAAAATGTTCCCTTTATTTTTTTGAGCACTATATTATTTATATTCTGTTATGTATATACTGTCCCTTTTGCCCATGTTCTGTAGCTATATTTCCCGATCTCTTTTTTTTAGGAATACGTTGCAAGTGAGGGAGAAGATGACCCAGAAGTAGAATTTCTGAAATCCTTGACAACTAAGCAAAAGCAAAAACTTTTGAGGTAATCATATCATGAGGATGTAGAGGCTACTAACAAGGGTTATTTCAAAGTTAAAAGTTTTGATTTTATTTATTCTAGAATAATTGTGTAGAATATTTAACCGCAGTTTATCCTTCCCCATGATTTTAAGTCCATTATCATTCACTGCTTATTTGAGTGGGATTTGCTGAGAGCTGGGGGCTACTAGGGTTCTGAAATCCCTTCCTCTTGCTTTGCTATGTACAGTAAATAGCACATTCTTGAATCTTTATATACTTGGCATTTACAGAATGCGATTGCATGATCCTTAAACTGTTCCCGTTATAATACTATTTTATATGCTAATTTGTTATGAGAAAAGACATAAATTACATTGAGTAATTCTATACCGCAGCTGAAAGATAATGGATTATTTTTTTTAACAAAAAATAACATTGGGAAATGTGTCATTTGTCCTTAACTAGATCCAACATTAACCCATTCTTATTCTACCGTAGTTGATAGAATTGGCTTTTAGGAAAGTAGAGCTTGTACTTAATTGATCCATTTGTTTTATATTTTATGTTTGTACTACTCTGATTAAATACCTTGTTACCTAGTGAATCAGAGTCAGATAAATTGAGGATTTAAATGATAAATAAACATATGCACTCCAGTGTAAGTGTGATGTCTAGGACAGAATGCATGTATCCCTTTGATTATCTCTATCTCCTTTGCAGGGGGAGGGAAGTGAGGCACCCTAAGCAGTGCTTCCTCCACCAGTGTATTAGTGGTTGTTTTTCTCACGAACTTCCTACAGGTACAGCAGTAGCTGCTAGATCTGGCTGGGAACTCATATTGACGAACGTGTTCCAATTGACACATTGCTTAGTCCAGGGGTAGGCAACCTTGGCTCTTTTATGACTCGTGGACTTCAACTCCCAGAATTCCTGAGCCAGCCACGCTGAGGGGAAAGGGGGAGGTTTCCACACTGAGCCATGCTGGCTCAGGAATTCTGGGAGTTGAAGTCCACGAGTCATAAAAGAGCCGAGGTTGCCTACCCCTGGCCTAGTCAAACTGAGATAATACAGGTAGTCCCTTGACTTACAACCGCAGTTGAGCCCAAGATTTCATTTTTTAAGTAAGGCATTCGTTAAGTGGGTTTTGCCCCATGTTACGACTTTTCTTGCCACAGCTGTTAAGTGAATCACTGCAGTTGATAAGTTAGTAACCCGGTTGTTAAGTGAATCTGGCTTCCCCATTGGATTTGCTTGTCAGAAGGTCGCAAAAGGTGAACACATGACCTTGGGACACAGCAAAAGTCATAGATATGAACCAGTTGCCAAGCAGTTGAATTTTGAGCATACGGTCATGGGGATGTTGGAAAGGTTGTAACTATGAAAAACCATCATAAGTCACATTTTCCAATGCTGTTGTAACATTGAACTGTCACTAAACGAACTGTTGCAAGTTGAGGACTACCTGTAGTGCTCTGCTTTTATAGCAATCACGATATAAAATCGTGCTTTTTTTTTCTGTGATAGGAGTGGAGCCATAATTGTTGGTATCTGAACATTTTAGTGCCTTAGTTTGCTCTAACCTTTTTTTAAAAAAAAAAATCACGAACATATTTATTAGATCAGGATATACAATATCAAGGATGGCTTTAAAAGAGTCAAGAGGCAAGTTTGGAGTTTGATTCTTTTTTTTAAAAAAAAAAGGATTGCACTGTTATATCGCTCTGTTTCACCGCTCGATTTTTCTGTGTTCAAAATCAAAGAAAGCTAGATCGCCTAGAGAAAAAGAAGAAGAAGAAGAAAGACAAAAAGAAGAAAAAGCAGCGGAAAAGCAAAAATAAACACAGAAAGCATAAGAGCAGATCCTCTTCCACATCCTCCAGCGAGTCCTCAGCAAGCAGCGGTGACGGTGAGACCAGTAGCAAAAACAAAGCCCCCTGTGGAAAAATAGATTCTGAGAAAAAAAGGAGAACCAGGTTTTCAGAGACTGACAGCAGTGATTCTGATGAGAAGGGGAAGAAAAAACTTTACAAAGATCCCTCCAGCAGCCATGATAACAAGGGCAAAGACAGAGAGAAGTCTCGGCTTTTAAAAGAAGGCCCTTCTTGGGAGAACGACAAATGGGGCTCCAGTGAGAGCGAAAGAAATCCCACAAGCAGAAAGGGAAACTCAGAGGGGAGAAAAGAATCGGAACGACCGGGACACGCAAGCAGGAGCCACAGCAAGGGGGAGAGGAGCAGGCAAAGCTCTGATTCAAGGCAGCGGGCGCACAGTCCCCGTGAGGAACGAGACAAGAGTAAGGAAGTAAAAAGCCACAGTTCAGAGGTAAGCAGAGAGCAGAGGAAGCGTAAAGAGAGCCACCCTGATGAATACGGCAAAAGGGAGCACCGAGAAAGAAGCAAAGAGAGGAGAAAATAAAGTGGATAGCTTGTGCGTTTTTTTTTCTTTCTTGGGAAGGACTCCTGTTGTGCTCTTCTGCCTCTCATAAGTTCTCAGAAAAATCTCAGCCTCCTGCTTCAAACATTCTTGTATATATGTCGTATCTATTACGTAACAAGTAAATAAACACAATCCAGGGTTTTCTGTTGGAATCATTTAATTGTGGAGGTGGAGGGGAGAGGGAAGAAAAGTTATTTGGTAGATCTAGCTTTCTTTTGCAGTTGATATTAGTGTGCAGAAAAAGGAGTCAGTACTGAAGTTTCAACAATAACGTGTTTCTTTCTTTAAAATAATACATCTAGACAAGCCTTGCAAGAAACAAAAGAAGCTGTTCCAGAGACATGGAATTATTTTGTTTGCATTTAATGTGGTTTGGAATAAAATTCCTGTAAAGAGGCATAAAAACTGGGTTATTTTGATCTGAACTTTTAGTTTCTTTTTCGCGGATGTTTTCCTAAGTAAAAGCAACAGAGCAGCATTGGTTCAACATATGCCAATATGTTTTGTCCTTGTGAAAGTATATCTTCACCACAACTATCTAAATATGTGAACTTCCATTGTCAGTTATTTTGCAGCGCTTGAGAAAAATATTTTTTGTGTTAAGAATTTCTAAGTATTGTGTGCTACAGAAATATAATGTCCATTCCTATCTTATTAAACTGCAGATTGTCATTGTTAAGATTTGAAGGATGTGATAGTCCTCATTAGTCGGACATCAAGCAATTTTGCTGTCTTGCTATAGTTTAAATTTTCTTTATTAATGCTTGTTTTTCTGTACTGTTTTGTATCATCATGCTGAGATTTTTGCATAAAAATGAAACGTGACTCACTTTGCAAAACTGAGCTTTGATGTATGTTACATCTTTACCTTTTATCATAAGTTTTATAATAAAACTTATACAATTAAACTCCGTGGCCTTTGAATATGAAGTGGTAGTATTTTCACAGAATGAAAATACATTCTATGGCCTTATTAATATTATCAATAAAAATAATATATCAATAAAAATAATATATAAACTAGATAGTGCTGTTTTCCCCTCTTACTTGAATATTACAATCCTTGACTTTCCTGTAAACATTGGGGCTAGTGGTGAAATTGAGCAGTTCTTATTTCTTGTATATAATGTTTCTGAATGATAAAATGCATATCTAGCCTATCCCAGTAAGTATGAAAACATCTATCACATTAGTTTAAAATAATAATAGTAGAAGTTAATATTAAGAGAGGATCTTTCAAGGAAACTCACTACTGTATCACCACTACTGTTTGTTATTGCATGGATTCCTTTTTCAACAATACTGAAGAAGTCAGGCCATGGCTATCAAACATCAAAAACATCTTCCAGACTTTCCCACTTGCTTTACATAGATGACCTGAAGCTCTTTGGACAATCACCATCTGAAAAATAATCACTTCTCAACACCGGTCATATATACAGCCAAGATATTGCAAAGGAATTTGGATCCAGAGGGGAAAAATAGTGAAAACGGAAGAAATCAAGATGCCCTATGGAAATAACATCAAGAGTCTGGACGAAGAAGATTACTACAAATACCTGGGCATTGTTCAAGCTGATAAAATCAAGCACGCTGAAGTCAAGAAGAAGCTTGATCTTAGTCCAAATTCAGTGGAGGAAATACCATCAAGGTAATTAATATCAAGGTAATTCCATTTATTAGATACAAAGCTGGAATAGTGGATTGGACTCAAACAGAACTAAAAGCCCCGGATAGAAAGACCAGAAAAATAATGACAGTGAATCATGCCCTTCATCCACAGCAATATTGACAGACTCAACTTAAAAAGGAAAGAAGATGGATGTGGAATGTTGCACAAATACACCAGATAGTTGAAGACAAAAAAAAAGATATTGGAAGAATATCTGAATGACTGAAGAAACTGCACTGAAGTTAGTATACCATGAAGATTTACTGACTATAGAAGAGATCAACCTGGCCTACAAGAAACACCAAATGAAAAAGAGAAGAGACATGTTGGTTTGTTTCTAAGCTGACACAAGGGTAAGCATTTAACAGGAAACAATCGTGGCTTATTTTTCTGGCTTGTATATTTGAGAACACAGGAGAGAGGAAGAAGCATTGTTCAGCAAAATCTGTGTTTCAGCCCTGTAAAATTTGTGACCCCACTTTGAAAAGGCCTTTGGAATAACAGATAAGTAGTGCCAGACATCTTATTTCTTTTTCTTCGCAAAGAGCAGCTCTCTTTTTTTTTCTCCCATTCGTGCAGCATACTGTATATACTGCTCACAAAAATAAAGGGAACGCAAACCCCTTCAGTTCCATGGTAAAATGTTCCCTTTATTTTTTTTTGAGCAGTATATATATGTGGTAGGTAGAAAAGGGATATTTGGTTCAGCCTTGTCTGTGCTGGCAATATGCCACCCAGCTGCTGCTGTTACATTTCTCTCACACAAGAGGATTAAGTGTACTGGTCCTTCTATTCTTAGCAAGCATTTCTCTGTGTTCTGTTCTTGGTTACTGTTTAGGTCAGTTTAGAGAGATGTGGGTGAGCATGTGCCTATAATTTTGTGCTCCTGTTGAATGGAAAGCCTTGATTCTGCCATTCATCTGTCTCCTTCGTTCACTAAGCTGGGTATTTCTCTCAACACAAACTAGACTAAAAATAATGCCCAGCGTACAGGTAACTTTTGCATCCTAGGACTGAGAATCTTATGCTAAACAAGGAACTGCTGCCATTCTTGTATTTGCCTGATTACTTTCCAAGATTCCTTCCAGTGTTAAGCAGCAAACATTCACATCCCCTAAGGAGATTTTTCTGACAAAGTGACACCCTGAAAGATACTCAGATATTTTAAACACTCTTTGCAAGGTTGCTCTTAATTTTGAGAAACTTTGGAAGATGATTTGGAAGAGTACATCAAAAGAGATTTAAGTGCAAATACTTTATTTTAAAGATAAAAGGGTGATTTAGAGTAGTACTGTAACAGAACTTATTTCGTGAAAGAGGTGAGCTGGTAGTGATGGGTGATACAAGGCGCTGAAGTTCCAGAGCGTGTATTTGGATTTCTGATGTTTTTTGCAAATCTAACACTGTAATTGCAAGTACTTTGTTAAAAATCAGCTGTAGACAACTGTTGAAAAAAGAAGGAAAAAGAAAACGGACACAAAAGTGGTTAAATTGCCTCTTGGAGACTTGCTGCCTAGCTGTATTAACTTGACAATATCAGATTAAACCCTGTAGGAGGTGCTGTTGGTTTACAAATGTGGACAAGCATCTCTGATTAGAATTAGAATTTGTTTAAAACTTACAAACATAGCAGTCCTGCTCCTAGCCACAAGATGAAAGTGGTGAATGGTACATTTTTGGCAGATCTCTACCCACAGAACACTTGTGAGAAAACAGAACAACCTGCAGTAATAACTTTCTGCGCCTAACTTTAAAAAAGAGTCCATGATAGCATCTCCTAAATATACAAATCTGAGAGGAAAGGATGTTCCACAAACGATCTTTTTTTTCTGCAGAAAAAAAAATGCTAGAGATGGTTCTTGCTTCAGTCTAAACAATACCCCGAAGGTATTGTTTTCCTAGACATGTTTTATCTTCTTTATATTAAGTATGATTGCCTTCGTTGACCCAATTTTCTGAATTAGCAGAAATATTACACTCTGTACATACAGGCTAGATCCACAAGGCTAACACTGAAATCTTCTGAAGCAACTTCCCCCAGTCCCCAACTTGAGGCCTAGTTGAAGATGTTTGGGAATTCCAGAATCTCCTAATCTGGAGGTACTCGGAACAGAAATGCTACTGCACATCTAAAAGGTACAAGGTTGGAAAATTTCTCCAGGACAAATTTACCAAATCTACATGTACTTCTACATGTACATTGGGCTTCTAGTTAAGCTAGAGTCTTCTGCTTCTTGACAGGCTGATGCCATTTGGTTATTCTGGAACAAGGATCTTGAGACACTGTTCCTTATTATGTGAGGGGGAGGGGGCAGAGGGCATTTAAAGTTTTAGTCCCCACATCAAAGCATCTTGACTCTTGGAATCCTGCTATACTGCTTAAACCGGCTTCATGCTAGCTATTTATTTATTACGAGCAACTCTAGGCAGTTTTAACAAGCCATGGCTGCTGGTAATTGCAGGATTATTTCTTCCTGGCTATGCTAGGAACTTCAAGAAGTATTTGCTGGGCAAATCAGGGAGCCCTCAAGCTCATAGGAGCCCTCACATTTAGACATCTGTTTTGCCTTTAAAACATTCAAATTAATTATTACTCTTGGAGGGTAACAGCTCTTTACTATGATCACTGTACTTCAGCCAGCAAACCCTGTTTTCACACTTAACACGGAAAGGCAGGGAAATAATTCCTGGCTCTTCTGTCTGTTGTTTACTGAAGGATGGGCAGTGCCGGAAAGCAGCGAGGAAGTTTGTCCTTCTGCATCTTTCCAAACCCGATTCCAAAGTCAGCCAAATCGGAGTTGCAAGAACACCTCTTTGTTCGCAGGTACTTCAAGAGGAGGCTGCCTTTTGCAGACTAGATATTAACAGATTTTAGAGCGGTGCTGAAGGCAGGAAGGGTGCCTACCGTTTAATTCTCTGTAGAGCCTGGCAAAGGAGGAGGAATTCAGCCGACAGCGCCAGAATTTAGATGGTAAAGGAGAATAAATTATTACTAATTGAAAGGTGAATAAACAGGTGACTTTTCAGCTCAGATTCCCTCTTGGATCGTTGCAATAAATATCCCCCGAAGGAAACTCTCTATTTATGTTGTCATTGATTAATGCTCGCTACCTCATTTGATTTCGATTTAGAACGATTTGATTCTAATTTAATTAGCATGTAATTTGGATGTACATAATTACTGTAATTATGACGTTCAGGTAAGGCAGCTTTAGGCTGAAAGGCAATTTAAAAAAAAAAAAAATCTTTCGTCCCCCCCTCTCCCCGCAGCAAAAACCCTATTTTGTAGTAGGGAACGGACAAGGACTTTGCGGCCTGCTCTCCAAGTATGTAATTAACACATCTCGCAAACAGGCAGCTCCGGGAGATGGGCTTTAAAACCGCGCCGGGCCCAGGCCGAACTCGCTCGGGCGCGCCGGAGGGGGCGGAGTCTGTTGGGTGGAACCGCTCCGGGTTGTTTTCACAGATGACCGCCCCGCGAAGCGAAACTCCCGCCGACCTTCCCCTCGTGTGGCCTGGCTGTGGGAACACGGGGGACGTGTGTGTGTGTGTGGGGGGGGGAGTTGCTAAGCTCTGGGGTTCGGAGAGCGGCGCCGGCAGCGGTCCGCTCTGATCTTCCTTTAAGTGGGAGAGGTTTAGAAAGTGAGGTGTTTTGTTTTTTATTTTTGCGCGGGGAGGGTGGAGCGGACGGACGGAGGGCTCCTCTCCTCAATTTAAAAAAGAGATAAGCGCGACGTTGTCTCCTTCTAAGCAATCTGTGACGCTTGTAGGTGGAGAAGAGGATCCACAGCGAGGGAAATGGGGGTTTTTCACAGCGAGGGAAATGGGGTTTTCATAACTGGCCTTCCTTACAGAAGACCCGATCTCCTGTCAAGCGATTGGTCAGGTTCCTCCCACCTCCACCCCATCTTCTCTTCCGGCTTCTCCACAACTTCTGCTGGGGCACTACCATGTGCTCCTGAGGAATCAACGCCGCCGCCCGTTTATTCTAAAAGCTAACACAAGAGACTTTCGTCGGGCTCCAATTCCAAACTCTGGACTGTTCAAGGGCGCGAGCCGTCAGTGGAAATTGGAGGCGCGCTTCCTTGATAGAATTCTGAAACGTGCAGGGTTTTGGGTGTGTGTGTGTGTGTTTTAAGCAAGGAATTACAAAATCGCCTCTTAATTA